CGCAAGGTTCTGCATCGTCCACATAGTATTTTAATCATTTCTCGACTTGGCTCTGCCAAAATCTCTTTCAAGGATAGCAAACTAGGATGCTTGTGGCATGAGTGTTATACTTCTTAGATATTTGCAACCTGCATGTAATAATATGAGTAATGATCAGGTTGGAGGCAGCAGTATATGTGGATTTTTGGTAAATTCATTATCTGCTTATTCACAAAATACTGTGAGCAAGCTACCCACTGATTTTGTCTGTTTGCACACTTTCTCAATGAGACTATTGACTTATGTCTAAGTATTCAGGAAGGTAATGAATGTTGAGACAGTGTACTCTCAGAATATATACATTATACATTCAGCCAATAGAGACTAACCAGTATTTGTTGTAGAAGTAATGAAACCACACTGGGTCAGTATGAAGTAATAAATTTCAGAAATTGATGTTCTTATTCTCAACAAATACCATAACATTGACAGTGTTTTCCACCCCCACTATTTGTACGTTCAGCCCGCCGTTTGGTTTGATGATTGCTACTGTGGGAGCCTACAAGACCCATTTTTTGTAAGTATTGCATTTATATCGCGTTCATGTAAATATCAATTTGTCACCCCTCCCTTTCTCGTCTCTCAGCAAGCCAAGGTTCTTTCGATTTATCATGACCTTGTCTCCTTTCTCAAATTCCCAGTTCAGTCTCCCTTTGTTATATGCTTTCTTTTGAAATAACTGACCTAAAAGAAGCATGTCCCTGGCCTTTGCTCTTTCAGCAGCGAACCCTTCCACTAGATCTAGCACCTTGTCGTGTATCGTGTCCTGATCGGCATTCCCTGAACTCGACGCTTCTGTTCAATCTATGCTGGACGGTCGACCTAGGATGGTAGTGTTCATGATAGGGTGGTATCCTCATAAGAGGTAAGCTGGACTAAACCCTGTAGCAGTGTGTGGTGAAGAGTTATAGGATAGCATCAAAGTGTCCAGAATCTCACTCCAATCATCTCGATCTGGACCGATATAAGCACGAATTGAAATTTCAAGACCCTGATTCAATACCTCTGCTTGTCCGTCGGCTTGTGGATGGTATGATGTAGTCAGGGACTGTCGCATGCCCATCAATTGGCAGATTTCCTTCCAGAAATCACCTCTCCATCTCGTGTCCCTGTCCGAGATTACTTGGCGCAGTATCCTGAATTTTGTGATAACATGCTTGAAGAAGAGCCTGGCCGTTTCTACTTCAGTGACCTTCATAGTGGTTGGGATAATGATTGCGTATTTGGTAAGCTTATCCACAATCACTAAAATATTGTCAAAGACGTTTGATATTGGTAATTCAGGTATAAAATCCACACTCACCACTTCAAACGGCTGTCATGGGATTGGAATGGGCTGGAGCAATCCTGTAGGTCCATGTCATCTTGGTTTGGTCTTCTGACACACGTCACAAGTGTTCACAAAGACCTTAATTTCCCTAGACATCCTTAGCCAATAGTATGTTCTGCTAATTCTATTGTACGTTTTGAAGTAACCCCCATGCGCTGCTTCCGTTACTGTGTTATGAACTTCTTGCATTACTTCGATTCGAAGATCCTTGGGTACGCACAACCGAGTGTTCCCCGCGGAATATTCAAAATAGATTAGTCCTTCCGCAGAGTGATGATACTGAGATAAAGGTAAATCCATTTCATTATCCTTGCTTTCAATTACTGATTTGAAATGTGGATCTTTGATATATGTGTCCTTCCACCTTCGCATTTTGTGCACATCGATTTGTACCATAGTGGAATATGATTGTGAGGTCGAGTATGGTATTTCGACCTCTTCACCATTTGGCAGTACTAATGGTAAGTTCCAGGATATACAGTCATCTTCAACTTGAAGATCGGCTTCCGTGAATCGCGTAGCAGCTGTCAACAATTTTTCTTCAAACCTTGGCCCCAGCTCCTCGTACATGTTGCGTAATGGGTCTTCCACTGGTTTCAATTCTAATGGGTTAACATTGTCATCTAGGGGACTTTCTTGAGGTGGAATATGTTGTCGAAGTCGAGAGACAGGGTCCACATTGGAATGGACTCTTCCAGCTCAGTGAATTATTCTCATATTCGGAAACGCTGAAAATACTAATCCCCAAGTTAGAAGTCGTCGATTGACGTTCTGAAACGTCTTACTCCAAGTCAAGGCTGCATGGTCAGTGATAGCGAATATTTTTTCTCCCTCTAAATACAGCTGAAACTTGATTAGTCCCTCTTTCAATGCTAAAGCCTCCCGCTCTGTTGGTGAGTAGTTCCGTTCAGCGGATTGCAAAACCCTTGACCAGTAAGCGACAACTCTTTCAACGTACACCGTAGTATTCTTGAAATCCTCGTCCCATCCTCCCTGCGGTGGAACATCGGAGTCTTCTTTCACCAGATGAGTTGTGAGGTCCGGTATTGGTTCCTTAGCTTTGAATGCGCATTCCAATAGCTCGTAAGTCTTAGTTCCCTTCAGATCTCTAACTTTAATTGGCTGGACTTGTTGAAGAATAGCAGCTAGAGCGAAGTCGCAAGCATCAGAATATATACGGTACAGTAGTCCGGGCATCACATGTGCTCAGACTGGAGCCTGCGTTAATACCTGTTTGCAAAGGTTGCATGTGTTTTGTTCTTCCTCCCCTTATTCTCCTGTTTTAATAGCTGGAATAGTGGGTGAACGATCCATGTGTAAAAGGGAATGTAGGCGGAGAAATAGACCATCATTCCCAGAAATACTTGTAAGTCATGGATATTTCTGGGATTATCCAGGCTAACAATGGCATCAACCTTTTCCTTATGCATAGATAAACCTAACTGTGATACCTTCTGGCCCAGTAGCATTAGAGATTGATAGGCGAAATGACATTTCCCAGGCGACAATGTAATTTTCGTGTTTGATATGGCCTTCAAGACCGATTCCAAATGAATTAGATGATCTTCAAAGGATTTCGAAAAAATTACTATATCATCAATGTATACTAGAGCGAATATCCAGAGAAAAGGGGCCAAAATGCCCTGCATGACTCTCTGAAACATGGCAGGTCCGTTCCTGTATCCAAATGGCATTCTCCTAAACTGAAACAGACCTCTATGGCTTCGGAAGGCTAGTTTGTCTTGATCTTCTGGCTTGATACTTAACTGAGTGAAGCTGGCTAAAGCGTCAAGTGTTGTAAGATATTGGCTGCCTTCCAACGACTGTAATATTTTGTCCTGTCGAGGGAGTGGAAATTCGTCAGCTATAACTTGCTCATTCAACCTTCTCAGGTCAATTACCATTCGTGGTTTATTGTTGCGATAGGCGATAAACACCGGTGCTCCCCAGGGGCTTTTAGACAGCTCAATGACCCCCAGCTGAAGCCATGAATCCATCTGTTTGTCAATGACTTCCCTGTTAGTGGGAGACACTTGAAAGGGTGGTACGGAAATCGGTTTAGTATTTGGGAGAAGGGGAATGTCTACTTCCTCAGCGTAGTACCACAATCTTCCTTTGAGTCCGAATGCCCCTTCGTGGCGTTTGAGAACATCCTGTAATAATTTCTTTTGGAGTTGGGTGAGGTTTGGAGAGATGTCGACTTCCTCTAATACTTGCTTGAAATTCGTAGGTCCTTCTGGCATTTCTGCGGTTTTAGGCCCTCCTTCCAGCACTGGTTCGGCTAAAGGGTCTTTGGCAGAGTAGTCCCTTCGTGACACATCATGTAATGATTTAACTTCACTCCTGGTCTTTTGCGCGAACAGATTTTTCTTGAGGAGAGTTCCTTCCAAGTTGATGACACTACATAGGAGATTAGCGTGCGCATTTATGGTGTGGCGATCCTTTTCCGAAAACTGACTTTCCTTGTCTAACCACGACTGAGGGTCCTGTCCTTGAACTTATAGCCTGTCCCATAGGAATGGTGATTGGTTTCTTGGAGAAATTAGAGATGTACATGAATGGCGAGTTTTTACTTACCAATGTATCCCCGCACCTGTATATGTCTTCTGGTCCACCACTGGTTGCTAGGCTTTTTTCTACAAACAAAAGTCCGGAATTCTTGCTAAAGTTGGCTTGGACCTTGACCAATCGAGTAGTTTCAGGTGCGATCTGTATGGGGCCCATTGTGCAAATGTAATTGTCTGCAGTTCGCCGAGTTGACTGCCTTTTCAGTTTCTGAGATTTCCTATGTGATTTGGCCTTGAATACCTTACTTGTTATATCAGGTCGAGCGCGCACCTTAAATGCATGACCATCCTCATCAACAAAAGCTCGAGCGGTAATAGAGTTGTGTACTTGCTTCGTTTGTCTGGACTTTCCAAATAGTAGAGTACTCTGTCCTTCCTCCCTTAATAGAGAAATCACATACTGATCAGTGAAGTCATTTCCTAGAATTAGGGGTGCTGACATTCCTTTAACCACATACGCTTCGACCTTGATAAGGACTAATCCCTCAGTTTCAAAGTACAAGTCTAACATGACATACCCAGTAATCAGCATGTTTCCTGTAACCTGAATAAGATTTATTCTTTGGCCAGTTCGAATTTTTGGTTGTACTGACATTTGCTCCAGGGCCCTCTGAGATATCAGGGTGATGTCGGACCCTGAGTCAACAATGACTGGTATTGATTTTCCCTTAGGGTTGTTGAGGCAGGCCAGAGTTTCCATAGTGCATGCCCCAAAAAGGCGCATCCAAGTGGTTGAGATAGATGTCTTTTTAATTCGATAATTGGTTTGTCCGTACTACGGCTTTCTTGTGTCTGCGTATGCAACAAATTACTATTAATTTCTTTGGAAAGTTTTCAACGTGTCTTATGATTAATAGTTGGCAGCACCGAGTGTCTTACAAATGAAGAGTTTAGAGAGGGAGCATTGGAATACGGATTCAAAAGGTTCTGCTGCCAAGTTTCAGTGTTGGAGTGCACTTGAGAAGAAGTTGCTACACTTACCCCTCCCAGCTTCGAAACCTTTACAGCTGAGAGGGCTTCTGAAAATCCACGTCGTTGTTTAAACTTTCTTCTTCATCACTAAATCATTTGTAATAGGCATTGTCATAATCCTCCTGTGCTTGCTCGTCTTCTGCTGCGGTTGTAACCATGTTCGCTCTAGCGCGTTTTTCTCCCTTTCTGGTGTATTTGCAATCCCTGTCCCAATGCTTTCTGCTACCACAATGTCTGCAAGGACGGGCACCTTTTTCATCCAGCATTCCATGCAGTGAAACATTAGAGTCGTCTTTTGGGAATTGAGGGTTCGAAGTCGCTTTGGTCCATCCTACCAAGTTGACGTGTACGTTCCTAAAAGGATTATAAGGACTTTGTTGAGTGTTTTCCTTGGCTTGGCCCTGACTTCCCTGTCAGTTCGCATTCTGATACGAATTTTCACCTCCTCCCATATTGAGGAGTGAATCTTCATGAAACTTGACTGATAATCGTAACTGTTCAAGATCTTGGAACAGGTGTGGCGTGATAATTGATCTCCAGAAGGAAGGCGCACCCTCCACGATTTCATTGATCAATTCCCTATCCATGTAGTTATAAACAAACTGCAATAGCTCCAGCTTGCATATGACATACTCACTGGGTGTTTCTCGTCCGTTCCCAGCATCCTGATAGGATGCATGATTGGCACGCGCCTTCTGCTTGTCCAGGAAAGCCCGGTTTATATAGTATTCCCCGATTGCGGCTCATAGTGTATTGACTGGTGGCTACCACTTTTATCATAAAACCAAGGCACTTGCCTGTAGAGCTGTGTGTATAAGTCCACAAGTTTTATGAAAGGCCTTTCATAGGTGTGTCCTGTGTCTTTCTTTCTCATAAAGGCTATGTTCTTTTCATAAAATGTAGGCAAAGACCACAGGACCCTTTCATAACATTTCTTAGGAGCTTTCATAAAAGCTTTCATAATTATTATCATGCGCTTTCTATGAATATTTCATTGAAGCTGTTCAGTTCTTTCATTGTACTTTTCATAATTAAACCTGTGTGCTTTCAATAGGTATTTCATTCACTGGGTTAGGTGTATTCATTGCCTTTTTCATAATTAATGGTGTGCACTTTCATTGAA